CTCTCTCCTTTTTTCTGTTCAATAAATTCTGTATATTGTTCAAGCTTTATTCGCCTTTTCCCTTAATTTGGCACTCTTGATTCCTGTCATATGAATTAAGAAAGATATGTAAATGCTCTTTAAAAAATATATATATGTAAATTTTATTTTCCCAAAATGCAGTAAAAGCAAATCGAGAATTTTTGTAGTTGTTTTATGTATAAAGAATATAACATTACAAAAATGTGGGGTAGGATGTGTATATTTAAAGTAGTTAATAATGTCTTAATCGTTGGTTAGGTCGATATAAAATTTAATATATCAACATGTGTAACACTAAAAAACAATAAGAGATCGTTACAACCAATGAAAAAGGAAAACAATAGGAAAATTTGTAGCCTTTAAAGAGTTTCATTTATAATTAAATAGTTATTTATTTCAATTCAACAAATACGGGTGAGGATTAAAAGTCATGGAAGGTGATAGACGAGGTTTTTCTTTTTCTTCTGAACTTAAGGTAATAGATAAGTATATATGTTGAGCTATATTTAGATGAATTTTTTAGTATGAGAAATATGAAAATGAAGAATTGAAATTTCGGACTTTAAATAAAGTAATAGGTATTTTATCCGAATTATGCTGGATTTGGTTGAGAATTGAGACAAGGGATCCAACTCACAATCTTTTGGTTGGAGATGTATGCCAATTATCGCTGAGCTATAGACTCACTTTGATAGTTTTTGTTCATTTTGATCTATACACTTCATAGCATCTTCGTTTTTGTCCCTCTATTTTTAAAAAGTGACAAATTTTGATCCTTTAATTTTATTTTTCATCTCATTTTTTCTATCACAAATTTAACACGACACTACATTCAATATATTTCTTAAAATGCAATCATTACTTCGTATTAAAATATTTCTGTTATGCACATAATTTGTGATAAAATTTTACAAATAAAGACTAAAATGATCACTTTTCTAAAATATAAAATAAATACTTTGAAAGTATAATGATTAAAATAAATGAAAGTTAAAAGTATAAAGACAAAAAATACAAACATTTTGAAAGTAAAAAGACTAAAATGAATCAAGGATAAAAACACAGGAACCAAGATAGTATTTTTGACCTATTATTTTTATAAATAAAGTGTTGTTTTTTTAACACATATAACATGACCGGAGAATTTTCTAAATTTATTTTTCATTGAATTGTTCTTATAATACCCTCAACTTAAAAAGGGTGTCCACGTATTATTATAATCACTAAGCAATAAAAGAAAAAAGGCCATGAATAAAATGAATGATTGCCCAAAATAATACATTAGCATTGTGGGAATTCTCTTTCGAAATATAGTTTTACTTTTACAAAACAGCTCTACTAAATTGTCGTATAGAATAATATGTACTCAAACAACACAAATTTTGAAAATATATTTTTTTTAGTAGAATTTAATTTCATGAAGGCTTTTTTTTTTTTTAAACAAGAATTTGATGAAGGCCTTTAGTTTAAAAATGGCATGTTTAATATTTCAACTAATTTATATAAATATATAATTTATTTCCTAAACCTACAAATCGTTTTCAAATTTGTCTCTAATCTTTTGAAATTTTAAAAATTATTTTTAAATAAAGTTATTTTAGTCAAGTTTCTACCCGATCCTATTATAAAAAAAAAACAAAAACAAAAACAAAAATAAAAATGACTCTTCACGATATTAGTTGTCAGCATAATAATATTTTTCAGAGGGAATTTAAAAAATAACCAAAAAAAATTGTATTTATATATATCACATTAGATTTAAAATTTACAAAACAAAAAATTATATAAATTACAAAATTGAGACCAACCAAAAACTATTTTTGTGAGATTTTTATAAAAAACAAAAGTAATTATATTTTTATAAATATTTATGTCATTTAATATAAATTTCCTATTTACGACTTTTTTTTTCAGCAATAACTTATTATGAGTTATAGTCATATACTAAATTGAGGGAGATAGATTTTCGATTTTATAGATCAACATGTCCAAATCATTAAATTAAAACATGAAGTAATTGTAACTAATCAGTAAAAAAAAAAATAATTGTCACTCAAACAAAGTTAATGGTATATATTTTAAACTTAAATCACAATTTTATTAATAAATTAAACCACCATCCAAACTAAGAATTATATATGTAATCTACAATTTTTTACAATTTTGTCATACTTAACGTTGTTTCAAAGAAAACACAAAATAAAAGTCCACAAGTAAACTATTACATATTTGACTTCTACAACACACCAAGATAACACAAAAACTTCTAACAAGAATTATAGGTTTGACCACTAAATTACACAGTAATATATTTCAATTTTTTCTCTAATTTCTTTTATTCTCCATTTCAATTTAATTAATATTAACATATCTTTACTGCTATATGAGATGGATGATATTAAGATTTTGACAGAAAATATTAGATTTAGATTAATCAACTGTTCAAAGACCAAATGAGAGAAATGAAAAAATTAAATAAAAAAATTTAGTTTGGAAGATCAAAACTATAATTTAAACCGAGATTTGAGTAATAATTAGTGAGCACTGAAGTGGGCTGGGCTAACAAAGTTGGGCCCTACGTTGCATGATCCATATGTGGACCAAGAATCCACGGCCGGGCCCAGTTACCGTAAACGGAGCCGGCGGGCCCTGTCAGTTTACAAAGTATTTGATCATCATCCTTTTTTTTTGTTGGTTAAAATGCACCAAAATGATACCTTTTGAATTATGGAGGGGGCTATGGCGGATCAGGCTCAGGCATGTACAGGTATGGAGGAGCTGGTGGAGGCGCAGGCTTTCAAGCGTTCAATAATGGCGTTTCGGCTTACCAATTTTCTGTGGTGTGAAAGAGGAAGGCCTTCTTTCACACATTCGTCGTACTTCTCCAAGGCCACCACAATGTCGCTGAAATCCGGCCGCTTCGACGGATTTGCCGCCCAACACCGCTTAATCAGGTGGGCTAACGCCGGCTGACAACTCGCCGGCAATGGCGGCCTCTCATTCTGCCAAATCAAAGTAAGACATTTCAAAATTCAAAACCCTAAAATCCCTAATGATTTTAGACAGCGAGAAAATTTAGATAGATTTCTCTTCGGACAGATAAGTATCAGAATCAGCATTCCCGGGGTAGTGGGGAACTTCGAATTCGGTACCTTCTCGGCGACGGCAAAGGCAGCCTGCACGGGGGTCATCCCCTGAAAGGGAAGCAGAGCCGTGGTGAGCTCCCACAGCACAATTCCGAAGCTGTAGACATCAACTTTCCGAGTGTAGGGTTTCTCCTTGATCATCTCCGGCGCCATCCATCGGTAAGTTCCCATGTTCCCTTTTGATTCTCGGCACTGTGTTTCGAGGCAGGAGGTTCCGAAATCCGCCACTTTTACTCTCATTTCATCGTTTAGAAGCAAGTTATTTGATTTGAGGTCTCTGTGGATTACTCCTTGAGAATGAAGATATTCCATTCCTCTTGATATGTCAAGGGCTAACCTCAATATTGTTTCTGTTGAGAGTGAATATGGCTCTTTTTTGTTGAGATACATCCTCAGGGTTCCTTGTGACATATACTCTGTGATTATGCAATATACAGGCGGCTTTTTACAGGCTGCAATGAACTGTAAAGAAAGCAACCATTAAAAGATGTATTTGTTGGTTCATATTTCAAAGAGGGAAAGGGCATAATTCTCCTCTAAGGGACATGTGGTAGGAGGAGATGAAGCAAAGTTTAAACAAGAAAAGGTTGAAATCTTACCTGAACTATGTTGGGATGAAAGAGACGAGAAAGCAGAGCAACTTCAGACTTGAACTGTTGCTCAAGTTTGGCTCTTGTCTCCTCCTTTTGGTTTGGAATTCTCACCATCTTCACAGCCACGGCTCTCTGCTTGTAAATTCCACGGTAAATTCTACTGTGAGCACCGGATGCAAATTTGTTACCGATGAAGAGTTGAGATAGATCAGCTGTCCACTCCTCCTGATCCTCCTTTGATGTCTCCCAAGTTTCCACATTTTCAGACTCTAGGATCATGGACCACGATTCCAAACTATCAAATCTCCTCCTCTCCATATTTTCCATTTCAGAATTCATCTGGGATTTCAATGAAGAAGGGGTTGATAAGGGCTTGCTCTTTGATTTCCGAATGCAAAGTGAACCAAAACATGAGGTCGCCATGAAGATTCTTTACGTGAAATGGACTTTGTTTATACCAAACAGGAGGCTTCTTTTTATGTCAAAGCAAGCAATCGTAAGGAATTTTCCTTCTGAAAGTATGAATTGATTTTAAGAAGTGCATGAACTGATTCAAAAACATGGGTTCTAAGGAAGAATGATAACTCGATATGGGTTTTCATGAATTTATGAATCAATGATGAAAAGGACGAAGACCCAAAAGAAAACTTTCGCAGAAAAAAACACAGAACAGTTTTCCGCGTCAAGCATTTGTACCTTTTCTATAGTTAGGCAAATGTTCATGAAAAGACCGAGAATATATCAGATAAAAAGCCAAAAGCAAAGATAGAACTCGGGTTTTCATGGCTTCAGGTAATAGAACCGCGGGGGAGAAGGAAGAAAGAAAAACAGGAAAATATGCTGGTAGAAGAAAAAAAGGGTCTGATTTTCACGGTTGTGTATAATGATAAGGAGGAGGATTAGGTCGTTTGGCAGTAGAAAGACAATGAAAAAGGGCAGATATTTCAGGGGCGTCTCGTGATTCGGCCTTTCTTTGTTCAAAAGTTGAACTTTTTAAAGAAGGAACCACTTTATTTGTTCTTCTTTTCTCAACTGAATCCAGCTCCTCTGTTTCTGTTCCATTTCCCATCATCAATGCTAAGTGGCCAAAGTGGCAAAGCCTCAATGGATTATCTTTCAACTCCAAGAAAAAAATGGGCATATATGCCAATGCCAGTCTTTTTTCCCAGAAAAAAACCCCACAATTTCTACAAGTGGCAGGCACACGTGGGCCAGGCTAAAGTGAAAAAGTGGCCATCCGACCCAAGTCAATGGTGAAGAACATGGTGATCTGTAGCTTAATGCAATGGACATCAGATCCTATGGTTCTTACTTAGTTCTTGTCAAATCCTTATTCCTTAACTATTGGTTGCGACAAGAGCCGTGATTTGTGTACTTTGATTGGGTTCGCCATTGCTAATTTTGTGATTAGTTGTCTGTTGTCATCGTCGTTTTCTTTTTCTGTGTTGTATCATAGTTTTGTACCAAATGTAGCAGTAAAGTTGTGAGTGGACTGACTTGCAATTGCTAAAGTTATACATTTTAATTGCTGAGTATGAAAATGTTCAAAATTGTTTCACTATTTTTTGTGTTGGGCTGGTCAAATATTTGGATTGTGGGACACCAATTTTGTTTTGTTTGATAGCTAGTTATGATTTTTGGGTATGATCTTATTTATTTCGTGAACTTTTAATTAAAACTATATTATTGATTTTGAGTCTAACTATTAATCTATTTATAAAGTTATATGTGACACTTTGATTACACTTTTAACCATCTTCACCTCGAATAAAGATCAGTAAACCTCCTTAAAAACAATTCTATATAGATTTAAGTCTAACATGAGTGCACTGCCTCAAAATTTTCCCCCTTATTTCAGGATTAATTTACCTAATTAAGTTCTTCATTTATTTTGTTCAATATTTAAAAAATTTCATCTATATGGCTAAATTCAGTGAATGGTTTTCCATGTTAGAGCGATACTATCTATTTTAAATCTAGACGTTGTACATTTTTGCACCTACTAATAGGTCCTTGAATCTCTTAAATATTCTTTGCCTTCAATCACACTCATTAATAGAAATAACCAAGCTTGTGTTTCATTTTAAAAAATATATTACATTTGTAATTATGAATTAAACATGGTTAAATTACAATACTACCAAGTTAAAATTATCATGAGTTTGACCTAGTGGTCAATAAAGGCTAACACAAAAAGTAAATGACTCAGAAAGAATAGATTCAAACTATAGTTGTCATTTACTTGAGATTTAATATTATATTAGTTTTCTTAGCAAGTTTTCAAACCTAAATTACAAAATTAAAAGTTAAAACTTTCCATTGATAATCATTTTGTATTTAGTTTTTTGTTTTAAATTATGCTTGCTATTTCTTATTTGTGTCAGTTCACATTTCTTAAAAACACATTTGAATTCTTAGCCAAATTTCAAAAACAAAAACAAGTTTTTAAAAATTATTTTTTCACAATTTCTTAGTTAGGTCGTTCACCTATCTTTGAAACACATTTAATTTAAATTCTATAGGTCGTTCACCTTTCTTAGAAACACATTTAAATTCTTAACTAAATTTTAAAAATAAGAACAATTTTTTTTGTTCAAATATTGGTTTCGGCAGCTGTTATCTCTCTCAAGCAAGCGCATGGCTCTTCCCATATTGGTTTTCTCTTAATTCTGATTTGTCTTTTCGTTTGTTCTCTTTTGTATTGTTTTTATGGTTTACTTTCGTCCCTTTGAGAATTTGTATTTTAGAACATTGTATTTCTTTTTCGTTATTTCAATGAGAAGTTTGCATCTTGTTCTAAAAAAAAAAAGAAAAAAACAGAACAAGTTTTTTTAAAAATTATTTTTTATATTTTTCAAAATTTAGCTTATGTTTTGAAAACGTTCTTAGATAAGTAGATAATAAAACAAAAAAACACATCTATGGTATATATAAAAAGAGATACAGGGAGAAACTTTTTCTCTCTATTTTGCCCTTTTAATTTCAACATTCTCATATATATTTTGAGAGCAATTTTGTCCTTCAAATATAAAATTTTCTCTCTCCCTTTTTTTTTCATTTCTTTTAAAATATTTAATCTCCATCCTTACAAATTTTACTTTTCTCAAATTAATTTTCTCTTTCTAATAAACTCTCCTTCTTAAATGTTAGAATATGGAGTGTTTTGTCTCTTTTTTTCTATGTTAAAAAGTTATCACTTATTTTAAATTATAATTAATAAGGAATTTCAAAAGTTTCATAACTTTTTATTTTCTTCAAGAGTTTTTTCTTACGCTTTTTCCCAACTTTTTCTTCATCAAAACTTGAGTTTCTTTTTTCTTTCGGTATGTTAATTTTCTCTTTAGTCAATGTCTTGTGTTTTCTTATATTTAGTTAGATTGTTTGATCGAATATTCAACTTTTTTAGTTTTTTTTTTCAAACGACTCAATCAACTGGAAAAATGAAAGGGAAAATGAGTGATAAGATCGAATCACCTTAGACGGATCCACTTTGGAATGACACTTGATAACCGATAGGACTCTCTCAATGACCTTCTCCTTCGTAAGGTGATCATCGTGTGTTGAAAATAGTCAAAGCAATCCATCGAAACATGGCTGCGATTGGTTCCTTGCCCGGAACTTGAACATGGCAAAGAACGGCTGTCTTGAACGCATCTCTATCTCTCACTATTTTTTTTTGTCATTTTATTTTTCAATGACTCAAATAAAAAATTGAAACAAAATTTTATTTACGTTTATGTATTGTTATGTTTAGGGGAAAAAAGATGAAAAATCCATGAATATGTGATTTTTTTAAAAAAAAATTTTAAGTAATTGAAGAATAATACTTTTAGTCACGCTAACCACATGAGTGAGTGATGAGAATTATTGAGACGATGTTTTATAACATAAACATTGAAAATACGAAAAAACTTGGTGAGGTAAACCTTTAGAGATTAAAAAAAACCAAATTAGATTATAAATTTTAACTATTTATAAATTTTATATTTTTAAACATTGAAATAAAAACTAGGAAATTTTAGTGCACTACACGTGTTTCTTACTAGTATGTTAAAGTAGTGTTAATAAGCTTAATTTTCAAAAACAAAATAGTTATCAAATGTCTCTTTAACTATTAGATTTTGAAGTTTAGAGAATTATTACATCATGGGTTGATTAATTGGTCCAAAGGAGTTCAAAGTCCACGATGGCCACCTATCTAAAAACTAATTTCTTAGGTGTTTCACAGAGAGCTCCTCCAATGACACAGTCCTACCAGCGTGCCACATTTTTATTAACACAACATGTGAGGTGAAGATTCAAACTCATGATATTTTACAGAGACTTTAATCCATTCAACGATGCTCAAATTGACTCTAAATTATTAGGGTTAATAGTTAAGTCCCGGTAGGTGCCGTACGACTCCAAGTTGGAAAGTGGATTCATCGATCACTGGTTCGTTCACTAACTCTGTCCCCAATCTCATATTGTGGAACACATAACTATGCAACCCTCGCTCCCCCAAACTGTCACATATCCCACCAATTGTCCAATCTTTCTTGTTTACACCAATTAATTAATTAATTAAAGTTTTATTATACTCACTAATTAGTGTTAGAAAAAGGTGTTGAAAACTCTTGTTGGGCAATCAAAGCTGGAGAGTCGTGGCCTTGCATATTTTTTTACACATATTACTCCTTTCATTTATATAAGCTATAGAAGCTAGGCTTTTAGGGGGAATACTTTTTTTACTTGATGATGCTTTATATTTGTCAAACTATATTTTCCATACATAGTAAATTCGTCTTTCTTCTATCAATTATATCCATCTTCTATTAACTAAAACTGATTGGAACTTGTACAAACTTTTTTTCTCAAAGTAACTTTTTTTAATAAGATTAATAGCAGCAAATAATGAAGCAAATCGTCAACAACTACCTTGGAGTTCAAGTCATCGTGGAGTTCGATTGTGTGGAGATCATCAGCATCTTCAATAAAGAAATTTCTAACCTTACAGAGACAAAACTGATCACCGATGACATGAGACGAAAGGTGAAAATGGTCTTGAGGGGTTCCATCACATCTCGAGAAGTGCAAATGGTGCTGCTCACGATTAAGTTAGGCGAGCGTGTGAAGGGAAGTTGTGTTCTTGTTGATTTCATCGTGGCCCTGTGTGGATTCAGAATCTAGTCTCGCTAGTTTATTATTTTTCTTTTTTATTGAAAAAAGATAGAAAGAAAAAAAGTTTCAAACTTTTTAGGCAGGCACTTTCAATTTGAGCCTTGGAAAAATGTTAAGGCCCATTCATAGAAACTAGAAACACCTTGGCCAAGTAGGGATAGGAAATCTTTTTATTCGGGTCTTATGTTTTAAAAAAAAAATCTCCATATATGCATTTATTTATTTATTTATATATATATATAGTTTAGCATAAACCTTCAATTTTATAGATGATAATAAGTATCTTATCCACTTAAACTAGAATTATAGATTAACCTAAATATTAATCAAATATTTTAAATAAATGACATAAATTAATCTATATTTTCTAACTACCGCAAAAAATTTGTAAATCTAAAAAAGAAAAAAAAAAGAAAAAAGCATAATTCATACCAAACTTAAACACAAAGTTAAAAAAAAAATCACGTCACTATGACTAAATTATATCTCTACATACAATAAAATTATACTAATACCTAACTCATATTATAAAATTTGTTCTCTATTTCACTCATAAAATGCTTAAATCCTAATAATGGTCACTAAAAATAAAATAAAATCACTTTTATCAACATTGGCATCCAATTCCAAACTATTGTAAACAACTCGTACGAAATAAATTGGGAGGACCCAATTCCAAACACTTGCACGTTAACAATCAAAATCTTTGAAATGTTTTTCAACAATAAATTTATAAACTCAAGTGTCCTACATTCATATCATATCAATAATATCCACTCTATCATGTCGATTGCAACATCCAAATTTTTCTCATTAAATAAATCTATTTTCAAACGAATATTGCAATTCAAAAAAAAATTCTTAACTTAATTACTATTTTTCACAGTAAAAATCTTATTATTTACGTGTCGGTTCGTGCAAAGAATTGGATTAAAATTTAAAATTTAAAATTAAACCTAGAAGAGGAATGGGCATGGCGTGGCACGCATCTAACTCCTTGTCCGCTGATCTTTCTACAGAGATGGATAGATGGCGCGATCCTGGCCGTCCGATGTAATCAAGATGCGTCCACATCCTCAACTGGCGAAATCAAGGGCCCACAGAAGTCCAGCGAAATTTGGAAGCATTACACCTCTCCTACACATAGGTGGAAGGGAGGTGACGTGGACGTGAGATCTACCACTGGGAGGGGAGATGAAACAAGAACGGGTCCCACGTCCCTCTGACATTTAATTTCTGATAATCGGATGATCTGGACCGTCGATGAAGCAATCCGGGAAGATCTCCACTGGGCCCAATATGGAATTAACGCAACAAGACGGATTTTAAAATTGGGGGCCCAATTAAAAAATAAAAAAGAAAAACTTTTTAATTAAAAAAAAAAGGAATTTTAGAAATTGGGATGCTCTTCCGCCACAAGAGTGCGTCGGCTCGATGGGCAAAAGGGAAACCCAGAGGGAGAGGAGTGGAAAGTAGAGTAGATTAAGGGTAGTGTTTGGGAGGTGGACCAGAGAGTTCCCTATCCGTGATAGTGTGTTATCCCATCCGGATAAAAGTTAAAAATGATGTTATTTATGGTGAATAAGTGATAAGATTAGATGGGGTCGGGGTTAGCTTATTCCAGCCTTTTTCTCCACATTTTTGCTGGAGGGGGAGTGTTTGGATCACGTTTCGCAATTAGTTATGTTTGGCCAAGATTTCCCACATCGTACGGACCACCGTCCGATGTTACTGTGCTCTCGCCTTTTCTTTTTCTATATATATAGATCTTTCATTTATGTAACTCATTTCAATTTTGTACTTCAACTTTTAAATTTCCAACTTTGCTCTCAATTTTATATTTTGTTTTAAATAAGAAGTTTACTTCACAAACGTTTAGAAAATGGGTGTATTAGTCTTATAAACATTAAAAAAACCTTTTAACCCCTACAAATTTTTAAAAGTTCATAAATCTATTAAGCATCAAATTAAAAATTTATAGATTTATTACGATCTTGGTGATTTGGAGACAAAACTTGTAATTTAACCTAAATAAAACTTTAGGTCAGCAATATACATTAATTGGTTTCAATTTGCCTCTAATCTTTAAAACTTTTTATGATGTATTCAAATTGAAACTCCTAATCAAAGATTATTTCCTGGCAAATTAATACAACAGTATATGAAGGTGACGACCCGTGATCTTTTGGTCTAAAATAGATATCTTGACCAATTGAGGTGAGTTCAAGTCGGTCTTTCACTGGTAAAGAAGAACATTGTCTTTACTCCCATTAAATATTTAACAACTAGGATAGAGAAATGCAAATGGATGGTAAAGACAAAGTTCCTCTTCACTTTGAGAAGCTAAGTACTTTCCTTGATAAATTAGGGTAAAATAATTAACAAAATTGAAACCAACTACATTTAAAAATATATATATATAGTGGTATAATTTAGCCAATAGTTTATATATGACTTTAACCTCGGATTTTGGTTATCTTGTTATGAAATCCTAATTTTAGAAACTAGTTCATGAAAAGTATTTATTCCTAAAAATGTTAAACCTTGAAAATTTTGTAATCTTACTTAATTGTGCAACATATATAATAAAATTCAACAATGTCATGTTTTGTTAAATAGATCCGATTATATCAATTAAAAGGAAAAAAAAAATTATATCAAATATGCTAATTACGCTGGCTCTTTCAATCTTACCCTAACTGCTCATTTATGAGAAGCATTTTAATGATATTCTCATTTCAATTAAAAGATTATTTAATATGTATTTGTGAGTGATTTTGACATGGTTAAAATGACTTTTACCATTAAAAAAACCACTTCAATTCCAAAATTAAAAAATTGATTTTAGTAAAATTTAAAACCACCTCAAATTGATTTTTAGGATATTCATGGGGGGTATTTATTTGGGTCTTGAAATTGAATTTGGGGAAAAAAATCTCATTCTCAATCTAACGGAAGATTTTTCTCTTTTAGAATTTGTCATCCTTTAAATGAATGGGAATGAAGAAATGATTCAGCATCTACTTTCATCTTTTAATATATATATATAAAGAATTCTTACATGAGTTTATTTCATTTTATTTTACCTACTATTTACCATTACCTTTTCTCATGGAAAACCTATAAAAAAAAGGGAAAAAAAAACTCACATGTGTGATATGTTATTAGTTTAATGAGATCTCATCCATTTTCTTTAATAAAATAACAAATTATAAAACATTGTTCACTGTGACACAAGAGGTTAATACTTATTTTCGTGTATAAATTTTTAGTCTTATTGATTCGAATCCCCGACCTATAAAAAAATTTATAAATTTTGCATAAATACTGTTTTAGTTTTTACCATTAGTTTCATAACTTATTTAATAAAAATATAAAATAAAAACATATTTAATCTATTTATTCTAAAAACATATTTAATCTATTTATTCATTCAGGTAAGATTTGAAGGTCAAAAGATATTTGAAATCATATATAATAAGTAAGATGTTTAATTTTAAAATGAGGATGAATCTTTATAAATAAATCACTAAGGAAAAATTAACTCTATGAAATAAAAGGAATTTTTATGTTAAAGTTGACATAATATAACATTTGAATTCAACGATCAAAATATAAACCTTTAACCAAATAATTTACGATTAAATAAATTCGTAAAATCAAAATTTTCACAGCTGTGCGATTCTAAAAGCTAGTATCTAGTCGAACAACTCAAAATTCTCATCTAAAATAAATAAAACACCACTTTGGTTGGGAAAAGAAAAATAAAGAGAGGAGAAAAAGAGAACGGATAATGATAAAGATATTGCAGATTATTGTGTGCGGTAAGAAATTCAAAAAAATTCAAAAATGAACATGGAAGATTTAGGATTTAAATAAAAAGAGGAGGATAGAACGGTCAATATGCAACCGACCCTCGACCGTCAGAATCTAAGCTGCCCGAGTCCAGAGAGAGAGGTCCAAGCCTCCACTTCCAGTGTCGCAGAAATTCAGTCCCAATTGAGAGAGAGAGAGAGGGGGGCATTTATTTAATAACCAATAGCCCCATTTTGGTCATTTCACCGCCAACCCTCCTCCTCCTCCGTTCTTCCCCTCGCCTGCACCTGCACTTCACTCACTCGCCACTTCCGCTTCCACTTCACTCTCTCCATTTC